GGGTCGGGCGTGGGACCGGTGAGTGCCACCCTCCGGGCAGACCAGAAGCCCTTCACGACCCCGAAGGGGCAGCGAGACTGGCTTGTCCCGCAGCGTCAAGGAAGGAGGCGGCGCCTCCTGGACCCCTTTCCGAGCGCCCTTCTTCCTTCTTCCATTTTCCTTTTGACCTCTCCTGTCCCAAGAGCAGGTAACCCAGCTCTTGGCCCTTGCTCAGAACTAGGACCTTTCGTGGTCACCCTCCACTTTGCCGGCAGGGGGCGGACCGGTGTCGGGAGAGGGTCCCGGGGGGCTGGCTGGCTGGGTCAGAGCTCCCTCCTTCCCTTCGCCCTAGCCAGGGGACCGGACCGGCGGGCGCGGGGCGGCTGGCTCTGGGGGAGGGGGAGGGTGTCAGGGCAGCCGTGCCCTTGGCTGGGGTCATGTCCACCTTCCCGCGAAGGACATATTTCCCCCGTGCCAGGTGCTTCCGGAGCGGCATCCCAGCCCTGGGCACCACGGGCCTGTCGCCCGGATCCGGATTCCCAGGTTCCCGCCAGGCACCCGGGGGCGGGGCCGGCCGTCTCCAAAGACCCTCACCGGGTGCTTTGCCCTTTCTCCAGAGTAGCTGAGGCTGGAGCCGAGGAGGAGCTGGTGATCAGGTTGCCACTTGCCTTGACTAAGTGTTCCACCTATTCATTACTGTCTCCATTCTGCCCACAGTGGTCACACCCTTTCCAGAAATTCTTGGCTAGTAACCACAAAGCTGGTGGGAGCAGGAGCTGGGAGAGCTGGAGAAAACTGCTCCAATCTGACTTGATTCCAGCAGAGAGCTGAACCCGGGTACTAGCCAGTTTAATCCTTATTTTAGCACGTGGGGTCAGTATCATTACTCCATTTGGCAGATGAGTAAAGGAGGTTTAGAGCCATGACCTGCAATAGTCTGACTATGGGCTTTGAATTATAATCCCACAGACTGTTCTGCTTCCCCTCTGAACCTCTCTCTCAAGGTGAGCTTGCAGTTGACGGCGTTTTGGTCTTCCTGAGTTTCCATGGCTGTCGCTTTTATGGGGTACAGTTAGCGTTCGGGGTGAAAGTGTCCTGTATGGTTCCGATGCCCTATCTTAGCTGAATTGTCCTTTTCAATGGAAGTCCCTATCCCTGGGATCTTTTTTCTTTGAAAGGTTTTTCGCTACAGGGCGCATATGCTCCCTTAGACAGAGAGACAGAAAATGATAAATTACCCCACCCCCACCCCAGGGAGAAGACCATGCCACAATGCCTTCTCCATTCTCCTCTTGGGATCTTGGGCATGCACACACAGGTGCGCCATGTGTTTTAAATTGCAGGGTCCAGGACTAGAACCATAGTCAAATACACAGGAGTCTAGCGACGGAACCATTACGCCACCTGCTGGTCCCAGTGAGGAAGATTTTTATTTGGATTTTTTTGGCCATAGGGCATGTATGCTCATTGTAGAGAGACAGACAGAACTAAAGTGAGAAATCATCTCCATGGGAGAGGGCCGCAATGTCGTCTCTTCTCCATTCTCCCCTCAGGATTTTGGGCACACGTGCACGTGGGCCTGGCATATATCTCAGGCTGCCAGATCCAGGACTAGAACTGCACAGCCAGCCATGTGGTATCCAGTGCCTTAACCACCACACTACCTGCTGAAACTCTAGATTTAAGTTTCTCTATTTTCAAGGTGAGAGGTAGGCCGTGTGGCTCACCCAGGGTCACACACCAGTGAATGAGCTGTGATTTCCCTCTGTATGTTCCTACCCAGCAGCTTTCCTAGAGCATCAAGAATAGGCTCCGGGGGCTGCCTGGTGGTTAAAGGCGCTGGACTCCCACATGGCTGACCACGGTTCAAGTCCCGGATCTGGCCGCTTGCTTTCTCTCTCTCTCTCTCTCTCTCTGTCCCTCTCTGGTCAAATTAAAAATAAATAAATAAAGTTAAATAAAATAATTCTAAAGAAAGAATTGGCTCCAGCCTCCCCTGTCCACCACCTACTGGCCATACTGAAATAGGACATTTTTGTCTAGTGGAACTAATAGGTCAGTCTTCTCTGTCTCTCTGGTGTCTTCTTCATCCTCCCTGGCATACTGACCCAGATTAGCAGCCTCACTTAAACACTATATATAAAAAAAAAAGACCGTGACATTTTACTACAGGGAAAACAAGGAGGAGCCTGGGGAGCCTCTGGAGGCTCTCATAAAAGTTTCCCCTGTTGCTTAGTTGGCAAGGGAAAGGACTCAACTCTCACTCTCTGCCCGGGCCTGTCCTGCTTCTCAGTTAGTTCCTCCTGCTTGATGGGAAGAGTATGAGTGAGTCACCTGGAGAAGCCTTCACCTGTGTGTGGCCCTCATCTTCTCTCCTATGTCACAGGCTCTGAGGTGACTTGTCTCAGATTCCTCCAGAATTGAGCCCTGTGCCAGAGCCATGCACCAACCTGTGGCCCCATGACCAGGCAGAGAGCACCTGTAACCCGAACCCTGGCTGACCACACTGAAGCAGGATGCGCCAGCAGGTAAATGTCAACCTTAGATGCCCCAGGGCCTCATCTGTGACTTGTCTGAATGAAGATTCTGCTGCCCTTTATCTGGCAGGAAGGGAAAGACTTTTGAAGGGTCTTTTCTCTCCTCACACAATCACTCTAATGCCTTTCACCCATCACCAAGAAGTTCTTCTGAATATCTAACCTGAATCTCCTCGTTGATGGTTTTTAGCTCTTTTCCTTGGGATGGGTATGGTGACATGGGAAGGAAATCCTCCACTTTGATAACCTGGCAGAGAGGCAGTCCCGAGGGATGTCCCTGCTGTCTGAATTGCCGAGGCACAGAAAGAGCCTTGGGCTTCCAAAAAGATGTGTTCCTTGAAGCTGAGCCTTAAAGAAGAAGAAACTAACCAAGTGGAGAAGGAAAATAATCAGTCCAGGCAAAGGGATCAGCCTGTGCAAAAATGTGAAAGAAGATGACCTATGTGGGAATTTAGATTTCTCTTTTTTTTCTTGGGGGGGGGGGATTGCTATAGGGCACGTGCGCTCACCAGAAAGACAGAGACAGAGAGACAGAAAGCAAGAAATCACACCCCGCCCCCAGGGGATGGCCAAGCCGCAATCCCTTCGCCTCCATTCTCCTCTCAGGATCTTGGGCAAGCACATGCATGAGTTTAAGCCACCGGGTCCAGGACTCGAACCATTCTTTTTTTTTTTTTAAAAGAGAGATTTTTTGGCATAGGGGCATATGCTTGCCAGAGAGACAGAGAGAAAGTGCTGGGGGTTGCCCACGCCACAGTCCCTTCTCCATTCTCCTCTCAGGATTTTGGGCATGCACACATACATGCCTGGCGTGAGTTTTAAGCCACCAGGTTCAAGACTCAAACTATGGTCGGCTACATGGGAGTACAGTGACAGAACCATTACGTCATCTGCTGGTCCTGGAAATTGAGGATTCTGATGAACGAATAGATCATGGGATATATGAAACCTGCCCTTACTCCAGGTCTCTGCCTCTCTAAAAAGGCTACAGATGCCGCCAGGCCTGTGGGATTCCAAATCACCCTGCACTATGGAGGTCTAGCTCATGGTCTGGAGTGAACGCCAGCAGACATTTGCTGAATTTTTTACTAAGTGTTGCCAGGCACTAGGCTGAAGTGGATGTTTAAGATGGTACATGCCTTCAAAGAGCTCATGGTCTAGAGGAGTCCCAGGTAGATAAGTGCCTGAGATAATAGGATAACCAAGTACAGGGCCACCAGCTTCAAAGGCCATGGTAGACATTGCCACCTGCCCTTCTAGCCAGTTTGTCTCATGACTCAGGCTTGGGACCAACCCATGGCATGGTTCTTAAGGTGGATAGATCCTACATGGCCAACCAACTGTGCAGTTCAAATCCCAGACCTTACAGCTTGAGAAACACCAGGCACGTGTGGATGTGTGCCCATTCTCCACGGGAGTGCTTCCTCACTTTCCCTCTGTCTGTCTCCAGCTGAGCATACATTGTCTGGCAGATTTAAAAAAGAAGAAAGGAAGGGCCAGTAGATGACATAGTGGTTAAGGTGTTGGACTCCCATGTGCCCAACTGCGGTTTGTAGGCCCAGACTCAGCGGCTTGAGAATCACACCAGGCACATATATGTGCATGCCCAAAATCCTGAGAGGAGAATGGAGGGGAAGGAATTGTGGCAGGTGCTTTTTTTCTTCTTTTAAGTTTTTTTTTTTTTTTTTGCCATAGGCGTATGCACTCTTGAATAAGCCACTTACCCTTTCTGAACCTCACAGGGATGTGGTGACGATAAACAAAATGACATGTATCAAGTGCTTAGCATATTAACAAGGGCTCAATACAGAACAGCTGCTAGCATGGTTATGGTGAACATTACTGCTTCTTTAACAAGAAAAAGGTAAGTTAAGGGGACTAGCAGATGGAGGAATGGTTACGTCACTGGACTCCCAAATGGTTGACTCTGTGTGTGTGCATGCCCAAAAATCTCTAGAGGAGAATAGAGAAGGGGTTGCGGTGTGGCCACCTCCCCTGAGGAAGTGATTTCTCACTTTCTGTCTTTTCGTCTCTCTAGTGAGCTCACGTGGCCTTTAGCAAATATCTCTCTTACAAAAAAAAAAAGGCAAAAACTACGTTTAGAAGAATAGTAGGTAAATTTGAGGGGCATATTCCAGATATTTTCCTAAAGGCTTCATTAGTACCTGTGAGGTAGGTACTATTGCCATTCCCACTTTACAGGTGAGGGAAACTGAGGCACAAGAGATTAAGAAACTTGCATAAGATTACATAACTAGCACAAATTCTGGTCAGGTACCTCTCTGGTTAGAGCAGAGCTATTCATAAACTAGCTAATTTGTGAACGTTTTGTTTTTCTCGGAGCAGTGATGTGAATGGATCCAGCTGTGCTCTGACCTTAGCTGTGCTCTTACCCTGGAGGCCAAGAGCCATACACTATGGTGGGCCCAATGCTCAGAGAACAAGCAACATCTTTGGAAGACGCTTGTTCCTGAGCCTCTCAGATGAAACTGGCCACCTTGGCTTGTTTCCCTGAGAGCACTGACCTTTGGAAACACACATCATGTTACAGACCTTTTTCTCCAAAAGCAGACTCCAGCCAGATGCCTGTCTTCTACTCCTGTCCCACCTTTCCTGCATCCTCAGGAAGGCAGGAAGAAAGACGGGACCACGGGAGGGAGTGGGCTGACGAAACATGTGGAAAGTGTTGGAATCAAGGATGGGCAAGGGAGACGGGAAAGGCACCTCTTCTGCCGGTGCTCATTCTTGACCTCGTACCACTTCTGAGCCAGGCTTCCTCTCAGGTAGACCCCGGCTAGAGGAACCAACTCATTAGCTAAATCTGAGCTCCGAGAAGCAGGTGATGAAGACATGGGTCTATGTCTCTGGGAAGATAACACCTGTTTTCATCCCATGTTGGCCTCAGAAAAGGCACACCCCATGGTCCTTCTCCTTGGAAGTACTCCTGTAGCAGCCCCTCTTTGGGACCCCACCCCTGGCCAGCCACTAAGGTTGATAGCCTGGACACTAACGTGACTGGAGCTTCTGGTAGAGGAGATGGACTATGTACTATGTGTTAGGCACTGACTGAATGCTTTGTATCTCTCTTCTTCCTAAGTTTATTTCCTTTTATCTATAAATAAAAAAGCTGTGGCTCAGGAACATCTCCCCACAGCTCTCCATCCTCACTCATCTATTTACCCAGCAGTTAGTGTAATGGCTATGTCACTGGACTCCCATGTCATTGACTGTGGTTTGAGTTCCGGACCCGGTGGCTTAAACTCACGCTGGGCGCATGTGCATGTGTGCCCAAGATCCCGAGAGGAGAATGGAGAAGGGACTGTGGCGTGGCCATCCGCCCTGGGGGGTGCTTTCTCACTTTCTGTCTCTCTGTCTCTCTGTCTTTCTGGTGAGTGCACTCACCCTACAGCAAAAAATCTCTCTCTCAAAAAAAAAAGCTGTGGCTCAGAGGGGATATTGGGCCACTGTTCCCAGGGCTAGTAACTGGCTAAGTGAAATTCCCACCAGTCCAGACGATGATACTAGAGACCACCTCTTTCCACCACACAGGACCCCACCCTGTGTAGCTGCTGCCAGAGGTCTGAGACCCAGCTGTCTGGCCCTCATGTTATTCCCTTTCAGGTTAATGGCCATGGTCCAGGCTCTGAGGCCCAAGACAGGGAATCCCTCAGAGACCTGCAGGAGTTCCTGGGTGGGGAGGCCCCACTGCACCAGCTAGATGACCTCACCAAGGTGAACCCTGTGACGCTGGAGACAGGTATGAGCTTCCCATTCCTCAAAAGTGTCATTTCCAAGAAAATGGCAATACAATGAAGGTATTCAGCACAGCTTTCCCGGGTCAGACCGAGCCAGATGGGCTGTTCCAGACCTCACCTCAAGGGAGCCTGGTACTATACCTGGGCTCCCCAGGGCAGCCTTTGCTTCAGACTTGGGGCTCATCTTAATTAGATCTCGTATCTATTCATCAGGGAGCTGCTGGGATCTAAGGGCACTTGGCTAATTGCAGAGGGAGAGCCATTAGGCAGATGTGTGTCTGTGTGTGTGGTTTTGTCTGTATTTGAGCCAGTTTACTAAAGACATTTCTGCCTCAGTCCTGAGGTGCCTGCAGGCCCGGTACGGGGCAGACATATTCTACACCAATGCTGGCTGCACCCTGGTTGCTCTGAACCCCTTCAAGCCCGTCCCTCAGCTCTACTCGACAGAGCTGATGAGAGAATACCACACTGCACCTCAGCCCCAGGTAAGGCTCGGCTGCTGCCTGTAGCTTCAGGGCTCCCCACAGCTCTACATCCTCACTCATCTGTTTACCCAGAGCCGTCTAGTCATTTAAAGTCTAGAGGGGGTTGGGGCCGCAGGTGGCGTGGTGGTTAAAGGCACTGGACACTCCTACATGGCTGACCACAGTTTGAGTCCTGGACCTGGTGCTTGCTTTTTCACTTCTCCTCTCTCTCTCTGTCTGATCAAACTGAAAAATAATAAATAAATAAATTTGGGACCACAGGTGGCGGTGGTTAAAGCACTCGACACTCCCACATGGCTGACCATGGTTTCAGTCCCAGACCTGGTGGCTTGCTTTCTTACTTTCCCTCTCTATGTCTCTCTCTGGTCAAAATAAGTAAATTAATAAATAAAATTAGATAAATAATTATTTATTTTAAAGTAATAATAAAGTTAAATAAAATAATTATTTGTAAAACTAGATAAATAAAGTCTAGAGGGGGCCAGCGGGTGGCATGGTAGTTGAGTGCTGGACTCCCACATGGCCAACTGTGGTTTGAGTCCCAGGCCTGGCAGCTTTTTTCCCACTTTCCCTCCTCTCTATCTCTCTCTGCCTTGTAGCAATTTTTTTAAAAAATAGCTATAATAACAAACTTAAATAAATGATTCTAAAACTAAATAAGTAAAGTCTGCTGGTGTCAGGCTGTACCCAAGAGGAGCTTGCAGAATTATGGACTCACAAAGAACCAACTACAGGACAAGAAGTGTAAAGTAAGAGGGAGCCGCAGGTGGTGTGGTAGTTAAAACACTCTATTTCCACATGGTCAGCCACAGTTCAAGTCCCGGGCCTAGTGGCTTGAAATTCATGCCAGGTACCTGTGTGTGCACGCCCAAAATCCCAATGGAAGAATGGAGGAGAAGGGATTATGACGTGACAATTCTCCCTGGGGGTTGGTTTCTCACTTTCTCTTTCTCTGTGTCTCCCTCTGGCAAGTGCACACGCCCTGTAGCAAAAATCTCTCTCTTTAAAAAAAAAAAAAGAATCTCCCTGGGGGGTGATTTCTTGCTGTTTGTCTCTCTTTCTGGCAAGTGTGCACCAGAGCAAAACCTCTCCCACCCCACCCCACCCCACCCCCCAAAAAAAGGTGTAAAGTGGTAGATAAACATTTAGTTGAGTCTGGAACCTAAAATAGAGAACAGGACAAATGAATGTTTTTCTTGTTTGTTGTTTTTGTTTGTTTGTTTGTTTTTTTAAAGAATTACTTTATTTAACTTTTTTTTTTCTTTTTTCGGAGAGGATTTTGCTACAGGGCACGTGTGCCCGCCAGACAGACAGAGAGACAGAAAGTGAGAAATCACCCCCCGGGGGGATGGCCACACTGCAATCCCTTCTCCTCCATTCTCCTCTCGGGATCTTGGGCACGCACGCACACGTGCCTGGCGTGAGTTTAAGCCACTGAGTCCAGGATTCGAACCACGGTCAACTACATGGGAGTCCAGCGACCATAGCCATTATGCTAACTGCTGGTCCCAAACTTATTTATTTTTATTTACTTATTTAACTGACCAGAGAAGGACAGAGCAAGAGTAAAAAGAAGAGAGAGAGAAATCAAGCTGCCAGGTCTGGGTCTTGAACTGTGGTCAGCCATGTGGGAGTCCAGTACCCTGAAGCACCACGCCATCTGCCAGACGTTTTGTTTTAATAGAGGCTTTTGCCTTAGGGCATGTGTGCTAGGGGTGGGAGAGAATTTCCACACCTCAATCCCGTCTCCTCTACTCTCCTCCTAGGATCTTGGGCACACACACACACACACCTAGTGTGAGTTTCAAGCCACCAGGTTTGGGACTTGAACCACGGTTGGCCATGTTATCCGTGTTATCTGCTGGCCCCTGTTTTTCTTGTTTTTTAAATTTATTATTCTTACTAAGTTTATTAAGTTTCCCTCTAATTTTTATGTTCTTGTGAGGAAAAAGAAAAATATGTTTTATTTTATGACATAGGTTTCAACGAGCAAATGTTAAATCCCTAAGACTTGACTTGTACCAGTATTGTACTTTCCAAGTCAAAATGTCCCTAAAGGCCACTTTCTAAATTTTCGTAGTGAGGCAAATGATTCTAAGATTTTCCACAAACATTCAGCCATCTAAAATGGAGGATCAAATTGTTCTGCCTATATAAACTAGCTATTAGGGTGTGTTTGGAGTGATTTCAGGGTGTCTTCAAACTTAAATCTCAGTGTTCTCAGTATGAAAAACCTGAGGTCAGATACCTATGTAAGGAAAATGCTATTCATTCATCCATAAACTCCAAAAAAGCAAATGGATAATGCTGGCCATATTTTGCCTTTCTGACATTTCCTTGGGAATCTGCAAGAGCCTCTTCTTACCCCTCCTGTAGTAAGATCATTTAAGTATGCATTAAACAGCTATAGAATACTAAAAACGTTTAGCCACAACCAAAATGGGGGGAGGACTTATAAAGGTATATTTGTGTACTTAATAAATCACCTTTCTAGAAAAGAATAACATTGCATGTGCTAAGTATTACCCTAATCCCCTCTACACATACTTATCTCTTCAGAGAAGAATAACTTATTTGGGGCAAGGGGAGGTGCAGGCCAGGAATGGGCTTGTTGGAGTTGGCATGCACGGTGAGTCCAGGGAGAAGAAGCCAGGGTGGACTTGCTGGCAGGAGGGAGGCTGTGGGGAGAGAGGCAATAGATGAGGGGAGGAAGATGGGAAAGCCAGGGCTGAGTGTGGAGGGTCCGAAGCAGCACAGAAGCAGAGTCCACGAAGCTTCATCATCTAGGTGGAGGTGGCGCTGGGAATGGAGCCCGCTGGGGGAATAACCACTGTGGGAGCTGGCCTCAGTTGGAGGTTGATGACAGTTCAGGTGATAGGCAGCTGGGGCAAGGACAGGTGTAGAGGGATGGCTCTGACGCTACCTGTAACAGAGGCCTTGCTCCTTAGGAAGCTGTGGGTGGGTGATCTTTGCTGGAGAGCTGACAAGGTGTCTGCAGATAGCCGGCCCTCTAGGAATTCATGCATGAATTCATGAAGTGTCCAGAGCAGTCTGTCCTGAGACCCCAAGAGCAGTCTGTCCTGAGAGCCCATGTCTGACTCTCTGCCCCATCCCCTCAAAGTCCAAAGCCAGGTCATGGTCCCCTCTGTCTTCCACTGCCCAGAGCTTGATGCCTGGCACACGGAGGAAAGAACAGTGGCTTTGGCAGTCAAATCACATGAATGCACTTGCTGAGTGGGCCTTGGAAGGCCTCTCAACCTCAGATTCTCTATAAAACAGGGTTAGCTATCCAGCTGATGCACTGATGCACAGAAAGACGCATCCCGGTGCTGCTGTCAGCAGCCATCCCTGGATCAGCCACTCTTGAAAACGTTCCCTCCTATGACCTCTCCCCTCTTGATGTTTCAGAAACTAAAGCCCCATGTGTTCACCGTGGGCGAGCAGACCTACAGAAACGTCAGGAGCCTGATCGAGCCAGTAAACCAGTCCATCGTGGTCAGTGGAGAGAGCGGCGCTGGAAAGGTAGGAGAGCCTCTTTCCCGCCCTGTCTGCTTGTGACTGGCACAGGGGCCATTCCCTGTGGAGTTGTCTGTTGCCTCGTGGTTCCCAGATAGGCTAGCCAGAGAAGGAACCAGTGGGCAGTGGTGGGCAAGCACTAGGATAGCGTCAGGGACAGGGTTCTAGTCCATCCCCACCACTGGCTTTGCTCTCACCCTGGTGGGCTGCTTTCCCCCTTGAGCCTTCAGTTCCTCATGAAAAGTATTTCCCACTTTTTTTCCCTCAGGGTGTTTTTTGTTGTACGGTATATGTGCTTGCCAGAGAGAGAGACACAGTGAGAGGGAAAGTGAGAAATCACCCCTGGGGAGATGGCCATGCCGCAATCCCTTCTCCATTCTCCTCCCAGGATCGTAGGTACACCCAGCATGATTTTGAAGCCACCAGGTTCAGGACTCAAACTGCGGCCATCTGCTGGTCCTGGTGTCTCCCAGTTCTGGCACCACTTGACAGTCTCCTGTTGAGGATTTCAGCATAGTGGTTAACAGCATCTCAGGGGTCCAGCAGGCGGCATGGTGGCTAAGGGTGCTGGACTCCCATATGGCTGACCACAGTTCAAGTCCTAAAACTGGCAGCTTGCTTTCTCACTTTCTCTCTCTCTCTCTCTCTTTCTCTCTCCAGTCAAATTAAAATAAATAGAAAATAAAATAATCTTAAAAAAATAAAAAAAGAGCATCTCAGAAAGGTACTTAGTGGGCCAGCAGGTGACCTAGTGGTTAAGGTGGCTGGATCCCATAAAGCCAACTGCCCAGTTTGAGTCCTGGATCCAGTGGCTTGAAAAACACACCAGGCCACAGAGCCATGAGGCCTCAGAAACAGAGTAGTCTGCCCAGGTCAGAGGAGTTTTCCCTTTTCTAGCCCAGCTCCCCTCATTCCCAGCGCATCCTCTGGAGCTGGGATGTGCACCCCCATTTCACAGATGAGGGAGTGCCTCTCCCCAGGCTGCAGTTGAATCTGGAGTCCCTGATTTGGTCCGCAACAGCAAGGTGGAGAGAGCGCTGGTGGCGCCACTCCCTCCAGCAGGCTCAGAAGTGGGAGGGAATGGACACGCTGTCTCTGCCACAGACATGGACCTCCCGCTGCCTGATGAAGTTCTATGCCATAGTGGCCGCCTCACCCACGTCCTGGGAGAGCCATAAGATTGCAGAGAGGATCGAACAGCGGATCTTAAACTCCAACCCTGTCATGGAAGCCTTTGGTGAGATCAGTGTCCTCTGCACAGAACTTCAGTCCCACTTCTTCTGGGAGTTGCCCCTTCTGGGGAGGACAGTGCTTTGTAACCCTCTGGGGATTAGAAGATGAGTGTGTCCCTCACTACTCTGGATCCCCAGCCTCCTCTTTGCCTTTCAAATTGGTGTGACATCATTTGGTCACCCCAGCCTGAGCACACAACGGTGGTGCAGGGGAGGGCCTTGTGCTTACCCAGTCCAACTCCTACCTTCCTGCCCAGTTTCCTGACGGCTCGGAGAAGGGGCCTGTGTAAGGATGCAGGTGTCCGTGCTGGGGCTGGGGCCCAGAGGTTTGCCTCACTGTCTAAGCTTAGCGCCGACCCCTCCCTGGCTGCCTAGGCTTATTTATTCCAGGTCCTTGCCAGGAAGTTCTGACTCTCCTGAATCCCTCTTGCCAAAGCCTGAGTCCCAATCCCTCGTCTGTCCCCTGTGACGTGGAAGACAGTATAGGGGCCTTCGGGTGACTTGAGAGGGACACAGCCTCTGGCACAAGGCCACAGGATTGCTAACCCGGGGGGGGTGGGGGGGGCATAAACACTGGTGTGTCTGCAGGGAACGCGTGTACACTGAGGAATAACAACAGCAGCCGCTTTGGGAAGTTCATCCAGCTCCAGCTGAACAGGTAGCAGCTGCTGCCCCCCTGGCTGGTCGGAGGATGGGATGGGAGGTTCAAAGTGGCTGGGCAGTCTCCAGCCTGGGCCACCTCTACAGGCAAAACCCTGCTTCTGGCCTGTGTAGACATAGGGTTCCTTAGGCTTGGGGAACCCTGAGGGTGATCTCTGAGCCTAGAAGACTGTGGCTGCTCCTACTTCAGAAGCCTTGTCACAGCCTGTGTTCCTCCTGTTCCTACCCTTGCTCAGGGACGTCTAGTCTGCCATCTTTGGGACCATAGCCATGGGTTTGAAGCTGGGGCTTCTGCTCTAGGCATGGGATGGGGGCAAACATACAGAGGCCTTGGCCCTGCCCATCTGAGCTGGATGTCGGGAAACGTCCCAGAGCACCCCAGGTTCCCCACCCTTGTGATCCTCCACTGGCTAAGTGGAAGAGCTTGGCAGGGAGCTGCTTGGTGGCAGTCTGTCTCACAGTAAGAGCCAAATAAATGGCTATGGAGTGAATAGGCAGCTAACAGGCTCCGATCTGTGTGCCCAGAGCCCAGCAGATGACCGGAGCAGCAGTTCAGACCTACCTCCTCGAGAAAACACGCGTAGCCTGCCAGGCCTCCAACGAGAGGAACTTCCATATCTTCTACCAGGTGTGTGCCAGGTGGGGCCGACCACCCCCAGTGCAGGGCGGGATGGGTCTGTCTCTGAGCCCCATGCCCTGCGTGCTCCTTGCCAGCCCCTTCACCTGGCTTCCAACGTGTTGCCTTTCGTTCCTGAAGACTCTGCAACACTTGGGCCTCACACTGGACCTTGGCTTCCTGCTCAGTTCTGACCTGGAGTTGGGGGTTCCTCTTCTAACAGACCAGAAGTTCCTTGAGGCTGGGACTCTGACTCTAGGTGAAAGCTGTCACCATCATCAGACTGAGGGCCCTCCTAGGATGGCTGCTGCCCCCAGCAGAATAACGGCTTCTCTTGCCGTGTGCCTCTTCCATCAGCCTGGGGGCCCCAAGGCTTGGCCAGTGCTTCCCTTGCTCCAGGCTGGGAGCATCCTTAGGTGGAAAAGCTCTGGGCTTTCTCCATCAGAACAAGCTTTCCAGAACAGGGTTTTTGTCTCTATTTCTGTTTTTGCATCAGGTCAGAGATCCAGAGCTGTGTTTGCTGCTGTTCTCGCCGCCACACCTGCCCTGGGCTCTACAGGGACCCCTCAGCTTTATGATGATGCTGCCATTTCTCACTCCTCTCATCCCAAACCCAGGCTTCTGTAAGCCAGGGCTTCCCTTGTGCCCCTGCTCAGCCGCCTGCCATCCCCTTCCCACAGATCTGCAAAGGAGCTAGTGTGGACGAGAGACTACAGTGGCACCTCCCCGAGGGAGCCACCTTCTCCTGGCTGCCCAACCCAGAGAAGACCCTGGAAGGTAGGGGGAGCCTCACTCAGCCCCCTATGCTGCTGGGCAGCACTCACCCACCCTACACAGGGCCTGTCTCCTCACTCCTTCCTGTCCTGCCAACCTCTGGCCCTAACACTGGGCTGTGCCTTGGGTTCTTTTTCAGAGGATTGTTTCGACGTGACCAGAGAGGCCATGCTCCATTTGGGCATTGACACTCCCACCCAGAACAACATCTTTAAGGTCAGAAGAAAAACCATACCACTTAACATTTGGCAGGCTGTCTTTCCCTGAGCACCCAGACTTGGGCCCCGCTGTACAACCTCCAAAGAGTTGACTCTCCCTGTGCTGCAGAGTCTGGAGACAAGAGGTCAGGTGGACGAGGCCCTAGAGGACAGTGTTGCAGGGCACCGTGCCAGAGTACACAACATATTCAGTGACCCCTGCTTGGGTCCGAGATCACTGCGGTAAGCAGGATAGAGAAGTGATCCTGCCGTACATCTGTCTAGTATGCGAAAACATCAAAACCCTGTCCATACCTCATAGCTCTGTTGGTTTTGTCAGTAGTCCTCTGTGGGTAGAATCATTTCCACCTTTCACCTGAGAAAACCAAAGGGGCGATGTGACTGGCCCAAGGTCAGATACCACTGAGTGATACAGAGTGGATTTATACTAGGTGTAGTAATTCCAAGTTCCCCTTCCTCTCTTCCTCCTCCCTTCTCCCCAGGCCCCATTTTGCCCTCTAGGGCCTGGTGCTAGCCCAGGTGAGCTGGGCCCCCTCATCTCCACCTCCCTTCTCCCTCTGGTTTGCTGACAGGGATGCCTGCCTCCCCCCCTCACTTGTTTACCCACTGGAGCGACAAGAAGAGATAGCTAGGATGGGCTGGCAGCAGGGACAGGGAAGCCCTGCAGGGAGAGGGCAGTGCAAAGGAAAATGGCCTCTACACCTAGGCAGGGAATGCTTCAGCAGGGAGGGTGTCACACCCAGGGCGGTACTGCCAAGTAGAGCAGGCCAGAGAACAAGGCAGTGTGTGTGGACAGCGCTCAGCCTCCAGGCGGGAACGTCACTTTGGGCTGGCATGACCCTTTGCCACAGCCATGCTGCCTGTTGGACAGCAGCCTTCTGAGCTGAGCTGTGACCAGAAGGCCAGTAGCATAGAAGCGCCTGCCTGGGAACAGATAGGAATGGCAAGAAGGGCTTCGAAGTTGCCTAGTTGCGGGGGGTCTCCTGTCTGTAGCCCCTGGAGGCTTGTCCATGTGGAGCATTGGGTGCCAAAACAAAAGGGCACCCACTGCACTGACACCGAAAGCACAGTGCCTCCCCCAGGCCAGGCTGTCACAAGCCAACAGTGCTGAGCCAGGAACAGAAGGAGCTGGAGCAAAACCCCCTCAGACACACGGGAACTCTGGCCCGTGCTAGCAGGGGAGTGTTGTCCTGCACACACCAACTGTCCCTGGAGAGCAGGAAGCCGAGGGCCAGGTGGTGGTGGACTTGGGGACCCTACTGGCTGCCCTGGGAGGCATCTGATGTCAGACCGCCTGGGTTCTAGTCCAATCTTCCTCTTTAGTGTCTGCACAGGCTCACAACCTAACCTCTCCCAACTAAGGCTGTCGTGGGTATGGTCGCAGTGCGTACCTCATGGGTTCAATGAGGTGACGCCTCTCACTTACGTGAACTGTGCAGGTGCAAACAGGCTCAGCTGGGCAGCTGTGGGGCGCTATCGGCATCCTGCTTGCCTGGTCCACTCAGCAAGAGGGGCCTTCCCATGCTGGTGCAGTCTACGTCCTCCCCTGCTCCTGACTGTGCTTCCCCACCTCCTCAGGCCCTGGCTGGACTGCTGCACCTTGGCAACATCTGTTTTGCTGACTCGGAGGACGAAGGCCAGCCCTGCCAGCTGAAGGACGAGGCCACGTGTGAGGGGCCAAGGGTGGGGAGCAGGGCAGGCCCTGCCGGGAAAATACCCCAAACTGATGGGACTGGGGGAGGCCAGAGGGTGAAACTTTGAATCTGATGCCCTTAATTAGACCATCCACTGTAGGGCCTGCCCTGGAAATTCCCTCCTCATCCATCACTGGTGAGGTAGGAGTCTCATCCCCATTGTGGATGAGAAAATGAGAGTCTCGGAGTTTATAAAGTGATTTGTCCTGCACATATTGGTGTGGACCTGGAGCATCAAAATCCTGCGTTTGAACCCTCACTCTGCCATTATGGAGACCTTTGGCGAGTCCTGCAAGGCCCATCAGAAAGAGCCAAAGTGCCTAGTGAAAGGACACCGGGTGGTTTGCTTAGGAGGCTTCCTCCTTCCCAGGCTCTATCCAGACATCGGCCTTGCTGCTGCAGATCCCAGAGGACACGCTACTGGAGACGCTGCGGATTAGAACCATCAGGGCGGGCAGGCAGCAGCAGGTGTTCCGGAAGCCCTGCTCCCGGGCTGAGTGTGACACTCGCAGAGACTGTCTGGCCAAACTGGTCTACGCACGGTGAGCAGCTACTCTGCCTCCCACTCCAGGTGGAACCAGACACCATCAGGTGGGGCCCCAGGCCCAGGGTCGGGGCTGACAGCTAAACTGAGGGGACAGCTGGGTGTGGCTCACTGGTTTTCCCTGAGCAATGCCCTTGGCCTCTGTCCTGAGTACTGAATGGGAAGTTGCCACATTCCTGGCCTCAATTCAGCTCATTATTCATACAGGAACCTGTTCTGACCTTGGCAGTAGGTGAGAAACTGCCAGTGCAGGCCGCAGAGGTGATCTGCACAGTTCCAGGTTCAAACTCCTAGCTGAATAGGCTCCTCTGTCTTCCTGTACCCTTGGACATAAGGCCCATGTAGTCAGCTGGCGAGTCTGGCAGGAGGAGGGAGAGCCAGAGTCTCAGCCTGCAGACTTGGGCAACACAGATTGCAGCAAGCCGGAGCCGAGCACAGTGGTGAAGCTGGGGGCCTGACCTCTGGAGCAGTTACAGGGCACCTCCACCTTCTGGCCATGTGGTTAAGGATGGTTTCTCACCGTGGGTTCTGAGAACCAGGTGGGTTCAGGTGCTTTGTAAGGGCTCCATGGGACCCAGATTCTTTTGAAATTATGAGACAGAACAGGAGTATGCGGGCGTGGGTGTACAGATGGGATCCTGGGTGCCCTCTGGGGAGGGAGTCCCCTTGCTTTCATGAATTTCTCAGGGAACTAAGAACTTAAGCACTGCTGAGGGAACAAAGTCCTCTGAGTTGAAAATGGCCCAGGGGAACTGGGCCCAGACTCAACCCATTTAAGCAATTACCTCTGCCTCAAAGCCAACTTCACATAATATTTCAGACCAAAGATTTCTGTTGTTTATTTTTTTATCTTTATTTATTATTTATTTTAATTTGACCGGAGAGGGACAGAGAGAGAAAGAAAGAGAGCATGCAAAAGACAAAGGAAAAGTGAAAAAGCAAGCCGCCAGGTCCAGGACTTAAACCGTGGTCAACCATGTGGAAGTCCAGCACCCTTAACCACCATACCACCTGCCAGCCCCAAGACCAAAGGTTTTTTAAGCCATTGTCAATACTGTTACTGCAGAATGACTGGATTAAGTGTGACGATCACAGATAGTGTCTGACCATGTATAGAAAATCTTTTTAAGAGGTTTTTGACTTAGGGCATGTGTGCTTGCCAGAGAGACAGAGACAGTGAGAGGAACAGTGAGCAATCATCCCACAGGTGGGATGGCCATACCACAATCCCTTCTCCATTCTCCTGAGATCTTGAGCACACACGCACAACATCAAGCCACCAGGTCTGGTACTCAAATCACAGTGGGCCATGTGGGAGTCCAGCGACGTGACCACTACGCCATCTGTTGGCCCCTATAGAAAATCTTACACACAGAGACCATCAAGTCACTAACAGCAGGTCAGTCATCATTAGTACTGCAAATGGGTTTCTGAACTTCCTCTTGCAAAAAGAAAATCCCTGGGACCAGCAGATGGCGTAGTGGTTATGTCGCTGGACTCCTGCGTAGTCAACCAGGCAGGGCACATGTGCATGCATGCCCAAAATTCTTAAAGGAGAGTG